ATCTCTCACCTGCACATGTCCATGCCTACTCAGTCTCACCTCTCTAACTTTATCCCTGAACTGTCCAGCCTGAGCTAGCCCTTTGAGGTACTTATTCCTAATCCTTTCTATTCTTGTTGCTCCCAATGCAACTCTAAGCATCCTTGCATTTAATTAAAACTGAAGGCTCAGATTTGAGAGTCCCGATTTAAGGATGGGTGACTTGCTTTCAGTGTGTCGCCACTGTTTAGTATTGTCCCAATCTGTGGTTGTGCAGTCTTCTCCTTGGAGCTTTAGATAGAAAAATACATGCAAGGCTTTTGTTTTGTTTTTTTGTGTGAAACTTGCTCATTGTCATGAGTCAACCAGTGCATACAGAATCATGCAATTTTAGTATGTTTTCATATTTTAATTGCAACTTTTATCAGTACCTAATACCGTTGCCTTTTACAGTGCAAAGTACCAGAGTAGAGTCTAGTATGAGCTAATCTGCTGAAGGGAAACAACCTTTCTCTTATGGGATGAATATGAGTGGGACAGGACTGCAGAGTGACTGGGTGCAGACACTTGAGCAAACCGTGAGAAGCCAGATTTGACCATCAGTATTGCCCCACCATGACTGAGACGGGAGGGGATTCAGAGTGACGCGAGCGGTGTTTCTCCACAGTGGAAACTTCCATATAACACCCATCACATCAGCAGCGCCCATGTGGACAGAATGAGTGGAAGGAAAGTTCTGTGTGTCTATTATCTGCTGCATGGATGTTTTCCAACAGTCTGACATAACACGCACACTTATGTGCCACTCAGGATTTACTGTATGAGACTTGTTCAAGGTGTTTTTGTTTTAAATTTCATCTGCAAGTGGAAATGTTCAATGCTACTGAACACTGAAGTTGTTCACAGGACTCTGGGCAGCCCTATGTAGCAGTCAGCAAGTGTGAGCAGCTTTGCAAAAGCAGAAGCTGTGGCATTTTGCTGGTATTGAGCATTCAAGCGTGCATTAACACAATGCAACAGTCTTCCCAGGAGTGGTTTTCTCCAGCAAAGTCACCCCAAAGTCAGACCATGCAAAGCTAATAGAAGCAGCAAAAATCCCAAGAGCTCAATTTCAGCCTCTGCAAGGCCTCAGTTAGCATGTTGAATGTTAAAGTTCCTCACTGTACTTTGAGTAAAAAGCCTGAACAAGTGTGGCTTGTTTTGGAAGGATTGTCAGGAGAAAACCTCTTCTCTGGAAAAAGAAGATGATAGCACGGCTTAGGTTTGCAAAGCTGCATCTGAAAAAAGACTTTTGGAATAATGTTCTTTATGCAGATGAGACCAAACTGAAGATGTTTGGCTACATTTTTAGAAACACAGCAAATAATCAAAAGTA